GGTTTTCCTTAGGTTATCCTTCGGTTTTTCTGTAGGTGTTCCTTAGGTTTTCCTTGGGTTTCCCTGAGGTTGTCCTCAGGTTTTCCTTAGGTTGTCCGTAGGTTTTCCTTAGGTGTTCCTTAGGTGTTCCTTAGGTTTTCCTTCGGTTGTCCTTAGGTTTTTCTTAGATTGCCCTTCGATTTCCTGAGTTGCTCCTTAAGTTTTCCTTAGGTTTACCATAGGCTTTCATTAGGTTGTCCTTAGGTTTTCTTTAGGTTGTCCTTAGGTTTTCCTTTGGTTTTCTTTAGGTTGTCCTTAGGTTTTCCTTAGGTTTTCCTTAGGTGTCCCTTAAGTTCCCTTGGGTTTTCCTTAGGTGTCCCTTAGGTTTTCCTTAGGTTTTCTTTTAGGTTTTCCTTGGGTGTTCCTTAAGTGTTCCTTAGGTTTTCCTTCGGTTTTCCTTAGGTTGTCTTTCGGTTTTCGTAGGTTGTCCTTGCGTTATCCTCAGGCAGTCGCGCATTTTCCTTAGGATGGATAAATCGAGGATGAAGTTTCTCACGGTCCTCGCGGGCCCCCTCCCTCCCCGCGGGGCCCGAGTTCCACGCGGAAATAATATTTCCCATTATTGCCGGGGCCCCAGTCCGTCAATGAGCCCGCGGGACAACCATATATTTGCGCACTATTGGGGGGGGGGGTCAAAAGACCCTGTGGGGTTATATGACGTTTGTAAGTTCATTTAAACTTCTCAGTGTAGATACGTTTATACATGGCTTTTTAGCAGTCATAAGTTGTTGTACACATTCTTAAATTCTTTATGAGTTGTCACGTCTTTGTCATATGCGCCATACCTTTCCCAGATTTGTTCATCACTTTCATATTGTGCCTGACTTGTTCAGCGTTCGTCTAACACATGGTTAATGTTAAGACTTGCGTCCTTCCATTTCCCTCGTTTCCGCGAAGGGCAGCGGCAAGGTCACGAGGGGCCGCAAGGCGTGAGAGCCTTCGGACGCTCCTCCTCTTCCCCCTCCTCCTCCTCCTCCTCCTCCTCCTCCTCCTCCTCCTCCTCCTCCTCCTCCTCCTCTCTCTCCTCCTCTTCCGGATGTTCATTCTCCTTCTCCTCAACCCCATTCCTCCACAACCCTAATCCGGATGATGCTCCTCCTCCTCCTCCTCCTCCTCCTCCTCCTCCTCCTCCTCCCCCTCCTCCTCCTTGTCTGTCTCCTCCTCTTCCTCCGCCTCTTCCTCCTCCTCCTCCTCCTCCCCCTCCTCCTCCTCCGTCCACTTGCCCCAAACACGACGCGCCCGCTCGAACGCCGTCGGTTGTGAAAACGAACGTTTGGGAGGGGAGGGAGGGAATGGGTTTCGAGGATGGGGGGGGAAGGGCGAGGTTGGGGAGAAACGGAGAGGAGGAGGAGGGAGGAAGGAGGAGGAAGGGGGGGGGGGGGGACGAGGGCAAGGCGGAGGGGAGGGAGGAAGGAGGAAGAGGAAGGAGGGGGCGAGGAGAGGAGGAGAGGGAGGAAGGATGATGACAGAACACGTCGGTGGTACCTCGGTGGCACCTCGGTGGTACCCCTTGCATTCGGTGGAGGTGGTACTTCGGTGGCACCTCAGCGGTGGTGCCATCCACGCTGCAGGTGGCACCCACTTTTCGTGTAGGTGGTACCCTCACCGTTTGTTTGGTGGTACCTTGGTGGTACCCATTGATTTTTGAATACGAGGTCATGGGTGATACCTTCGGTGGTAGCTCCTTATCATCCTCCTCCCTCCCTCCTCCTCCTCCTCCCTCGTTCTCCTCCTGTTTCTCCTCCCCCTCCTCCTCCTCCCTAGTCATTATCCTCCTCCTCCTCCTCTTTCTTCCGCCTGCGAGCACGAAGCCCTCTCACCCCTGCCGCGCCGCACTTTCGGCCCCTGCCGATGAGGAGGAGAGGGAAGAGGAGGAGCGGGGTGAGGAGGAGGAGGACAAGGAGGAGGAGGAGGAGGAGGAGGATACAAGTCACGCATTCGCCTGGGCATCGTTTCTGGATGGGCTGGTGGGGATGCGCGACGCGTCGAGAAGTATGCAGGGCGAGCTTCCGTGATTTTTTTGAATCCTTAGCATTAGCTCGATATGTCCTCACAACTTCATGACCTTTGTACGCCCCTCATGAAGGTCATGGCCGTGGCACGGAACTCCGTCGATATCAAATTTCGCTACCACCCTCATTTCCTCAACAATGGCCGCTAGTGCGCATATAACAATTAGTATAACACATATTACAATTGTCACAAATCAAGTTGTTCGCGTGTGTGACGTTTCTAATCGTTCCGTAAGTTGTTTGCCAGCAATTCCAGCCGTTTCATAATTGTTTCATACGTTTTTTTTGTAACCCTGCAACTGTTTTGTAACTCGGGTGGGCCGCGTTGTAACTTTCTATATCTCTGCCGTAACTACTTGTTGATGTGGTTACGACTCACGGGCATAAGTCTACAACGTCGCTTATAATGCCATTACAACTCCATACCAAAGATATAAGTAACATGAGATGTATAACAACGTTATCCTTGTCTTGTGGACTTATAGTTCCTGCTGTACGTGGTATAATTTGGTTTATGAGAATTTTAACCTGTATTATAAAGATGGTTATATGTGTGCCAGCGACCAAATTCGCAAAGCTCCTGGGTTCCATGGTTCCATGTTCCGGTGTCCTGGTTCCGGGCTTTGGGTTCCGGATTCTGGGTTCCGGGTTCACCCGGGTTTCGGGTTCCCGGGTTTTGGGTTTTTGGTTCCGGGTTTTGGGTTCCCAGGTTCCGGGCTCCAGGGTCTTGGTTGCGGGTTCCGGGCTCCCGGGTTCTATTATGTTGACAGCGCGGTCGTAATTACGTTGCAAATGCACCCATGTTGTTATGATTGGCAGGTTGGTGGGCCTAGTTTTCTTTGGAGTTGCAAGTGACTTACCGATTTACGAACGCGAAGCAACTTAAATCTAACAGCAAGGCCACGCGTCCAACACGAATGCAGCTCATGGGCAACTCAAACAATCAATCTGGCAATATGATGGTGCGTTTTATTGTTGGCCTTGGCAAATCAAGGTCGGCGTCAGGCCCGCGCGATACAAGTCACTGGCCTTACGCTCGCGAAACATGCGTTGTAGCCGCGCGCAACAGCACTGTTGTTACGTTACGCTCGCTCGCTGGACGCGAGAGTTGCGATGCATCTTGCTCGCGCGGTCATTTATTTGCTACTTGGGGGCTTCTCTTGAAAATGCGCGCGTCAGTCGCGATGCAATGACAGCGTTCACCACAGGTCCGACCCTTTGTTCGCCATGTCTGGTTTTCGCAATTTCTCCCCAATGCCGCGCTGGACTTCTGGGGAAGTGCCCGTTCGTTTCCAGCGCGCGTGATTTGATTACCTTGATGTTGCTGGCGACGCCTGCCCATCGTGCCCCGCCCCTCGCCTCGCCCTTGGGGCGCCGCGCATCGGGCGCCGAAAGGTGGCCTCCGCAAGTGGGGCCACGCGTCCGCGCATTTCTGTCGCCAGTGCAGATTCCCCCGGGAAGCGCAGAGTTTCTGATAACATATCCGAGTGATAGGGCCGAACGGTCCTACACCGTCCCTGGGCGCGGGGTTGAAGCGGGGTTCCCGCAGGATTGGTATTTGTTGAATTTGCTTCTGCTGTCGCTACCGCTCCTTTTGCCGTTTCTTGTCGTCGCTCCGCCCCGCGGCCCGCCCCGCGGCCCGCCCGCGAACCACCCCGCGACCCACCCGCGACCCGCCCGCGATCCACCCTGCGACCTGCCCAGAACCCATCCGCGGGAGTTGCCCCGGGACCCCCCCCCGGGAGTTGACCCGGGACCCCCCCTCTTTTTCCCCGGCGGGGAAGGGATCAAGGGAAGGGGCTTCCATTCGACTGAAGGACGACGTTGTTCAATCTTGTGTGCGTTTGTGTAGGGAGCCTTCGGAAAGCAGGAGAGGCGACGACGCTATGGGGAAGACGGAGAAGCTCCCCCCACACGCCGACAGGGTCGGCGGATTTGAGGTAGACAGAAAAGAAGAGGGAGAGAAAAGAGAAAGAGATATATAATCATAGAGAAAGAAGAGATAATTATATATATTATAGAGAGAGAGAGAGAGAGAGAGAGAAAAAAAAAAAAAGAGAGAGAGAGAGGGAGAGAAATAGAGAGAAAGAGAGCGAACTATAGAGAGAGGAAGAGAGAGAGAGAGAGAGAGAGAGAGAGAGAGAGAGAGAGAGAGAGAAAAGTACACAAACAAGACAACAGAGAGAGAGAGAGAACAAAAACAAAACAAATAGAGAGAAACATCGATAATACATCTATATATGTATATATATATATATATATATATGTATACATAGGAAATAAATACATATATGCGAAAGAGCGCCTTTTTGCGCGCATTGGCGAGGGGGAGGGGTGCAACCCCCCCTTCCTCTGGCGCGGTGGGGGGAGGGGGGTGTCTGAACCCTCTTTGTGCACAATGGACGGGGGTTGGAAGCCCGCCCGATCCCCCTCCACCCATATTTGCTGCTGGCGCGGCTAACACCGGCGCCGGAAGACGACGACGACGAGGAGGAGGCAACGAGGCAACGAGGTCGGTGGGGGGGGTCGGGAACGGGGGGATTGTCGCTTGAGAAGGGAATGGGTGTTCGGTTCCGGGGAAGGGGAAGATTTTCGGAAGTGGTGCAGGTTTCGGCTCCAGGGGTGGGGGAGGAGGCATTTTTCCACGTTGGAAGCGTCAACTCACAGAAGTCGTCGTTCTTATATCCGCACCCGACCCAGTACCAATGCACTCCGTAAGTTGTCATGCCTATTTCCATACAGATTGCGCGGTTCATTGCGCCCCCACACGTCGGGCAAACAGAGATCCCAGGCAGGATGCCAATATAGGAGTCAAGCGCGCGCAGAGAACGTTTATATGTACGCACAAAGCTGCACCTACATTTACAATTGTACAAGTTCAGGTACATGTGTGCGTGTACGTACATCTGTGTATATGAACATGTGTCGTGTCCGTAGAACTTGTTGGGTTACAGCTTGGAGATCACGCTTGTACCATGCTACTTCATAACATTTTTTTCTGATGTATCAGATGCACACGTGCGTCCGTCCATCCATCCATGAGTATCTGTCATGTTCCTGGCAGGTGGTGCGAGCCGAACTCGCCATTTTTGTAGTGCGGCTTCAAGAGAGGCGAGCTGCACAAGGCAGCAGACCGTGCGCGCTATGTTCCGTCGCCTTACCCGCAGTTCCACTTGGGGGTCGTCCTTCAGCGCTAGGGAGACAGCGGCGGTGGAGCAGCTGGTGGCCGCCCGCGCGGCGGTGCAGCAGGAAAGCTTAGCAGACGCCGAAGGCGAGGGCTACGCCGCCAGCGCCGTAGAATACCTCGATCCATCGATCCATCGATTCGGTCAGGTTGCTCGTTCGTCGATTGGTCGGGGTCGGGGCGGTCAATCCACACATCCGCAGCTTCTACAAAGTCGAGGCGGCAAATGGATAGCGCCATTCCGCCGACCCCCAGCGGAGTAGAGACGTCCAGGGCGTTTGGTAGGCTATGTTTGAATTGGAGTGCCTGGCTGTTTTTTCACGCCCACGAGGGTTCATGAGGGTTCAACTCTCAGGGGCCTCTTAGAAGACTTTGGGGATATCTGGTTGGCTTTGGGGGGGCCTCTACGCGGCCTTTTGGGAGCCTCCTGGAAGCCTGTTGAAGGCCTCTTGGGGGGCTCTTGGGGGCGCCTCGGGGGTCTCTGGGGAGCTTCTGGGACCATGAGGGGGGGGAAGGCTCGAGATGTCAGATCGTGTTGCTCTTTCTGGACCTGTCTTGGGGCCCAAGTGGGCCGTCTCAGGGTGAGCCGTATTGGATGCTGTCAGGACGAAAAAGGCGAGCATGTCGAACATGTTGGGACGTTTCTGTTGCGTTTTGTGGCCCTCTCGGCGGTTCTCCAGGAGCACTCTCGGGCCGTCCTGGGGGCTTCGTAGGCTTTCTTGAAGCCATCTTGTACCGTCGCGGCGTCATCACATGCCTTCTCGACGCTCTCTTGCAGTGTCTCGGCGCTCTGCTTCGGCCCTCTTGGGCCGTTTCGGCGAGCTCGTCCACCCCCCTCCCCCGTGATTTTAGGCCACTTGGGAGGGGGAAAAGGGAGAGGGGAACAGCCAAATATCTCGCACACCTTTGCACGCCTGGCAAGCGGGGGCCGGCGGATTTTGTGACTCTGGAGCCAGATTTGGATCGGGCCTTGGCGCAATTCGGGTCGTGGGCGGGCGTTTTACTGGCGTCACTCCAATATACGAGTACTCTGTGTTCGTCGCGCCCCTGGGGGCACGTGCGCGCCGAGAAATCTTATAGTACAAGCTCCGTGGCGGGCACTTTCTGGCCATAACGCTCGGGAAACGATGTACTAAAACCTGTTTGCACCACATGACCGGGTCGGACGCACGCCTCCGAGGAGGACACATAGTATTAGTATGTCTCCATCGACCCAGACCAGGCCTCGTTTTAGGGCCACAATACAGCCCTCCAGCGGCCGTTGAGGACGATCTGGGCATCCCTGAAACGCCCTCGGCGAGGCGCAGCTGCCAGAGGCCATCCCGAGGCTGGAAAAAGCCACCAAGAGCATACGAAAACGCCAGGAAACCTCGAACGTCGAAAACCTCGAGCCACGAGAAAGTCCTTCTGCGCCCCATCTAAGTCTTGTGCTGGGATCCTCGGCTGCCTCGAGCAGCTCGCCCTCGCGCTGGGCCTGGAGGCCGCCGACAGGGGCTACCGCAGCAGGTTCTCGGCCAACTACCGGGCGCTGTTCCCCGACGGGGCGCGCCGCTACCGTGCCGATGTCCTGGAGGCCGGGTTCTCCTCCTCGTCCTCCTCCTCCTCCTCCTCCTCCTCCTCCTCCTCCTCCTCCTCCTCCTCCTCGTCCTCCTCCTCCTCCTCCTCCTCCGTCTCCCTCGCCTGCCTCACATGCTCTGATCCCTTCTGTGTGATCCCCCTGCTTCCACGTTGCTCGTGCCCCCGGTTCTCCTCACGTGGCTGCCTGTGTTCTTGCTGTCCACTTCTGATCCCCCCCAAGCCGGCCCCGATGTTCCGAAGGCATGGCCCATATTTCGATCCGATCGGTCCGATTCGATATCGAGCTCGTTGGTGCGGTAGCAAGTCACGGGAGCCTCACCTGCCATCGTAATTCCGCTTTTCGGGTGCGTTGGCGTCGACTGGCGTCTGGTCATCGATGAGATAGCGCCGAATCAGCATCGACCAGTGACGATCAGCATCGATTAGCGTCGGTTTAGCGACGATCGAGCTCGTTGGGCCCGATCCGATTCTCGAAAAAGAAAAACCAAACAAACATGAACTTTGGGCGGTCCGCTCGGATCTCTCGGATCGGCGCTTGACCCCCTTGGCGGCGCCTCTGGCGCTGCCTTGGCGCGCTCCGCGCGCCAGGGAGGGGGGTCCAGCGCAAATTCAAGAAATCCGTGCTCCCCGTCGAAAGTTTGTGCGTATGCAGTTTCTTCTTGCTAGATTCGGTTCCGATGATCCAATTCCCGATGCCTGCGTGGCGTCGTTGTGCCGCAGCCGATTCGATACCGACTCCATTCCGAAGCGGTCCGATTCGGTGCGCGTTTCGAGCCGATCCGATGTATTGATTCGATGCTGACCGCTCCTGCCTGAAGGCCAGTGCCGATCAGCACGCAGCGATCTGGGTCAACGGTGAGAAATTCGAGCTCAGCGCCGAGGCCGTATCGTGCGCGGACGCCCTCCAGCAGGCTCGCGGAGGTTCGTGTGCCCATGCTTCGCTGGGCGCTGGCGCCTGTGAAGTGTCTGACTGAGTAGTTCGTAGTTGTGTGTTGCACCAGGGGGTGGTCATTGCATCTTGATTCCTCTCGCTTCGTGGGGTGCACGTCCGGAGCACGTACAGTCCAGTCGTTGCGGGGCTTCTTGGGAGCTTCTTTGTGGCCTCTTGGAGGTGTCTTGGGGGCTTGTTGGGGCCTCTTCTGCACTAGGCTTCTTTGGGGCCTCTTGGGAGCGTCTTGCGCCGTCTGGCGTGTGGCCCATTTGGAGGCCGGTCTCTCGAGGCCAGTCTGGGGCCTCTCGCGGCCGTAATCGCCGTTGTGGAAAAAAGCTCAAATATGGAAGGTTTGGGCCACGGTGTGGGCGTTGGTTGGCGTGACCTGCTCGGCTGCTGCGCGTGCGTGCCGCTCCGTCCTGCAATCCCCAGGGCTTCTGGGCGGCCTCATGGTGGGCTCTTGCGAGCCTCTTGAAAGCCTCGTGGGGCTTCTTGGAGCGTCTTTGGGGCCGCTTTGGGGCATCTTGGGGCTTCTTGTTGACGTCTTGCGCCGGCTTGGGGCGCTCTTGCGCCGTCTGGCCCCTTCGGAGGCCATCTTGGAGGCCTCTCGCGGCCGTCTTAGGGCTCTCTTGGAGTCCTCTTGGGCCGTCTTGGGGGCCCCTTGGGTCTTGGAGGCCTCTTTTGGCCGTCTCGGGGCCCTCTTGAGCAACCCTGGTGCCCCTTCGGGGGCCTCGTTGGCCATCTAGAAGGCTTCTTGGAGGATGCTTGGGCCGTCATGGTCCTCTGAAAGCCGTAAAAGGCGAGAGCGCTAAAATCTTTCAAAAACCAGCGGAAAATCAATGATTTTGGCTCCTGGAGGCGCTCTTTCGAGTCCTCTTGGGGCCCCCTTGAGGGGGCCTCACGGGCCCTCTTCGGACCATCCAGGGTCGTCTTGAGGCCCTCTTGGAGCCCCAAGAGGCCCCAGAGGCCCAAATCGGCGAGTTCCTATGGTCTTTTCCTGGTTTCGAGAGCCCGAGAAGGGGCGCATCCATCTTGGGTCGGCGGAGTGGCGCGACTCCAAGGGGGGGCAAGGGGGGGACATAATAATGTAACACGATATTACGTGTGGAAATTATGCAACGATTGGATACATGGGATACGTTGCGCCCATCCGCCCGCCACCACCGCGCCGCACCGCCACCACCACCACCACCACCACCACCACCACCACCACCACCACCACCACCACCACCACCACCAGCACCACAACCACAACCAGCACCAGCACCAGTACCAACACCACCACCACCAGCACCACCACCACCACCACCACCAACAGCACCACCACCACCACCATCACCACCACCACCACCACCACCACCACCACCACTACCACCACCACCACCACCACCACCACCACCACCACCACGACAACCACGCACACACGCACGCACGCACGCACGTGCACCACCACCCACTACGCACGCGCGCGCGGAGCCACAGGTCCGCTACGACACGCGTCCGCGGATAGAGAAAATCAGCGCCATGGTAAGGGATGGGAGGGAGGGGTAGGACGTCAGATATGACGCGAGCGCACCTAGCTTGTCATACACCCTCCCCATCTTCCCTTCCAGCGCCGGCTCTAATCATGGGCGCCGCAGTGACCCACTTCCACCTGGCTGGCGCTGCGCCGCAGTTCGCCCAGAGGGGGGAAAATAACATTACACTCCAGTCGCTGTGTGGCCTTTGGGGAGCTTTTTGGTGGCCTTTTGGAGGCATCTGGGGCCTCTTGGGGCCTCTTGGCGGCGTCTTGAGCCGTCTTGAGGCGCTTTTGCGCCATTTCGCCCCTTCGGAGGCCGTCTTGGGGGGCTCTCGCGGACGCCTTGGGGCAATCTTGGGGTCTTCTTGAGCTGTTTTGGGGGCCTCTTCGACCGTCTTGGGGGCCTCTTTGGGCCGTCTTGGAGTCCTCTTGGGCTGTATTGGGGCCCTCTTGGGGGCTTCTTGGGCAGTTCTAAGACGATTTTGGAGGCTTTTTGGGTCGCCCTGGGCCTGTGAGAATCGAAAAAAGCGAGAACACAACAATCTTCAAAACCTTGTGGGGAGTCGATGATTTTGGCCGCTGGAGGCACTCCTGGGGGTCCTCTTGGGGCCCTCTTGGGGCGTCTTGGGAGTGTTTTTCGGCCCTCTTGGGGCCATCTTGGGCCGTCCTGGGGCCGTCTTGGGCCGTCTTGGCGGCATCTGGAGCCTTCCTGACGCCTTGTTGGACAGGCCCAAATCATGGATTTCACATGCGTTTTGGTACGCTTGGGAGCCCCAAACGGGGGGCCGCCACTTTGGTACGGCGCTGTGGCGCGACTCCAGGGGGGGGGTAGGGGGGGAGACATAATATTGCAACACGATACAATATGTAGCAATTATGCAATGTTCAGATACATTGGGCGCGGTGCATTACAGCATCCGCGGACCTGCCTCTGGCAACACGTCACTTCCGGACGTGGATTCTTGGGCTTGCGCCACACAGCCGACCCCTTGGGGAATTGGCGGCGGTTGTTGCGCGTTGCTCTTGAGGGCCTCTTGTGCGCCTTTTGGGCGCTTCTTGGAGCTCCTTTGGGGCTTCATGGGGGCCTCTTGGGAGCCTTTTTCGGGGCCTCTTAGGCTGACATTCTCAGGATTCGCCGTGCACGCATGGGGAAACGGGCGAGAGCCCTAGTATACAGACGGAGGGCATCTGTCAAAACACCCGAAGAATGATTATCGAAAACGCCTACGGCGAATCGCCGCCGCCCCCTGCCTTTGTGGAAGCGGCTATGTGGCCGAACGTTGAGGCCAGACCTGCCAAGCTATCGGGCCATGCGTTCCCCGAATCGGTGTGGAAAGCCTTCGGGGAACACGCCGGTATCTTGAAGGTCATCTTGGCCACCTGGAGGCCATTTTGACCCTTTCGGGCGTTCTTGGAGGATGTCTTGGAGGGCTCTTGGGCCGTCTTGGAGGCCATCTTGAGCGTCTTGGAGGCTTCTTCGGCCGTCTTGGGGGCCTCGTGGGGTCGTCTCGGGCCGTCGGAAGGCCGAACAAAAAGCAAATGCCACAATCCTTCAACAAATCATGGGAAATCACTGATTTGGGCCTTTTCGTGCCTTCCTGGAGCCCTCCTGGAGCCCTCCTGGAGGCCTCTCAGGCCCTCTTCGGCAATCTTAGTGCCATCTTCGGCCGGCTTGGTGGACCCCTGGCCCGTCCGATGCCGTCGGAAGCCGTTTGAGGGGCCCCTCTGAACTGATTTGGGGCCCTCTTGGAATGCTCCAGGGCCGTCTTGGAGGCCATCTTGGGGGTCTTAAAAGCCTCCTGGGCAGTTTCGGGGGCCTCTGGGGGCCGTGTTGGGGGCCTCTTGGGCCGTTCTGGGGCCATCTTACAGGCTTCTTGGGCGATCTTTGGGGACTTGGGCCGTATCGGGCTGTCGGAAGGCCGAAACGACGCAAATGTCACAATCCTTCGGAAATCTATGGAAAATCAGTGTTTTTGCCCTTTTCTGGCCTTCCTGGAGGCCCTCTTGGAGGCCTCTTGGGCCAGCTTCGAGCCAACTTCGGCCATCTTGGTGGGCTCCTGGCCCGTCTGACGCCGTCGGAAGCCGTTTGGGGGGCCTTTCTGGGCCGTCTTAGAGGCCATCTTGGGCGTCAGAAGGCCTCTTGGGTCGTCTTTGTGCCTTCTTGGGGCCGTCTTGGGTGCCTTTTGGGCAGGTCCTGAGGCTATCTTGGAGGCCTCTTGCGCGCTGTGGGGGCGATCTTGGGGGCCTCTTGGGCCGTCTTGGGTCGTCGGAAAACCGAGAAGAAGCGAATGCGAAAATCCTTCAAACACCTAAGGCAAATCAATGATTTTGGCCTCTTCGGGCCCTCCTGGAGGACCCCTTGGGGGCCTCTTTGGGCCGTCTTGGAGGCCTCTGGGGGGCCTCTTGGGCCGTCTTCGGCCGTCTTAGACTCTCTTGGGCCGTATGGGAGGCCGTCTTGGACCATCTTGGGCGGACTTGGAGGCCATCTTGGACCACCTTAATCTTGGAGGCCATCTTGGGCCAACGTGGCCATCTTGGAGACCATCTTGGGCCATCTTGAGCGAAACATTGGGAGAATTGCAGGCTTTTCGGGCGGCCGGCGGGACGGGCCGACGCTCCAGGGGGTTCTTTGGGAACAAGAACCAAAACCAAAACCGAAATAGTCTAGCACGCCAGGCACCTCTGCGATGAACAGACAGGGGGCGGCGGATCGAATGGCCTTCGGCACATCCCGCCACCGTGTTTGGGTTGTGGGTCTGAGGCCACTCGGATGGCTGGTGGGGTCTCGTGGGAGGCGTCTCGGAGGCGTCTTGGATGCAGTTTTTCCCCACATCCTAAGGGGGGCTCTTGTTTTCTCTGGACACCCCGCGCAGGAACAGGAACAGGAACCCACCCACCCACCCGCATCATCATCATCATCCTCATCATCATCATCATCATCATCATCATCATCATCATCATCATCATCATCATCATCATCATCATCATCATCATCATCTTCATCTTCATCTTCATCTTCATCTTCATCATCATCATCATGTTTGGTCTGTTCCGCAGGCGATGGGCTCTGGACTTCTAGCTGGGCACGGGCGCTCAACCGTCTGAGAAGTGGCCCCGCAGCAGAGCCGCCTGGCTGCAGGCAGAAAGATCGAGTTGGTTGAGTTCGGCCACGGATTGGTTTTGCCGCATAGAGAGAGAATCATCTCAAGGCTGTCGAGTATTCCGATTAACAGCGGCCGTCAGCTTGTTCATTCAGTGTTCGTTCTTCCTCATCCTCTCCATCGTCCTCTACATATCCATTCACCTGCAAGTCTGTCCAGGTCTGACTTGTTGAGTTTCGTGGCACTGAGTACCTTCTCTTCGTGGCTGTACTTGTGACGTGCATCCGTGGAGCGCGAGTGGGCCTGTGGCGCCAATTTGTTGCATTAGGGTACCTTCTCTTCATACGTGTGCTTGTGACGTGCGCGTTTGCAGCGCGAGTGGGCATTACTGTAGCACTTACCAGGTTTCTGTTCAGCTTTTTTTCTGGTGCCTACATCGGTGAAATGGCCGCGTCCTACAGTGCGCAGTGGATGGGCCAGTGAGGTCGTTCTTCCAGTCCGAGCTCCTCTGTCACATCAAGGGGAGCTGTCAGCACCAATTGTCTCTGAATGGGTGATCGGACGTGTTCTGATGAACGACGCAGTTGGCCTACGTGGAGCACTTTTCCACATTTTACAAGCGATTGCTCCTGATCACTTACGTGTTGGTCGATATGGTCGCGCGGGTCATCTCGTCCTGGCACTCCTCGCTCAGGGTATGGCTTCCGCTCAGATTCGCACAGCGTTATCAATGCCATCATGTCCGCGTTGGGCTCGCCGTGTTCGTATATGACTACGCCAAGCGAGATGACGTTTCATATTCGAAAAGGTGCGGTCGAATGGTTTCAGCACCGGCAATCCAATTTTCTTCCGTCTGTCGGATCAGGCGCAGCTGTTTATCTGTTGTTTGGTCACAGTGGCCTCTACATTGGCAAAGCTAACGTTGCCCCGGCTAAAGGTCGTCCAGGTCTTCCAGAGCGATGTGCTGAGCATTGCGAAGCATTACTGGGTTTCCATTCTCGTCGTGATTCTGAGTTGCCTCGATATGTATCGTTGCGAAAGTCACTTGGTAGTACTGGTTTCTTGCCAGTAGTGTGGTGTCCGACAGAGCTCCAGTCTCTGACAGTTGAGAGTGCGCTCGTACAGATGCCACGTCCAAATTGTAATGGTGCAGACTGCCGCCTTATCCAGAATATACAACGCCGTGGTTTTCGAGTTCGGCCAGATCGGGCCGAACCCCGCAGCCGACCTTCCCCTCGTTTTCGGCAGCGCAAGACATTTTCGATTTGGACTACTACGATGTTCAGATATGTCCTTTTGTGCACGGGGATGCTAGGCCCGCTCAATTTGCTGGACCGTAACCCGCTGTACCTCAACATGTGATTGGCATACTGTTCATCAAAGCACGCCAATCTCGTTTTTTCCGTCTCCATGGTATTTGTGACAGAAGGCGGAGTACACCTATGAGTTGGTTGGCCAAATCAAGTCTCGAGTTGGTGGCTTCTCATCTCATTTCGCAGCGAAAGCTCATCTGAGCAAGTTGTGTCAGCGGCATGGGTTGCCTCCAGTATCAGTCTCTCTTGTCATCATGCCGCGCGAACTCGCTCGGCGGCTTCATCTTCTTCGTCGTCTTTTCAAAACTGCGATGCAGTTCTGTGTGAGCCAGCTCGTCGGTGGCTAAGTGGGCACCTCAGCGTGCTTCCAGCGAAGTCGGCCGCCTGGGCCGATAAGTTCAACGTGGAGCGTATTCTTCGTGGTTTGTGTCATTCGCATTTCCAGCAAGTTGCACCGGGGGTTCCCGGTCGTTATGCGATGTCTCCCACATTGGCTGCGTACTCGGGACCGTGGAAGCTACCTGTGTGGCCGTCACTCCACCGTCTCCGCCGCACGGTGCAAAGTGCGCGGCGATCTTGGGCGCGACGTCATCGACTACACCCTCGCGTTCAGCGGCGGATACGAGGCGCGCTGGATGTCGAGGTCAAGGCTCTCCCCGAGCGAGTTCGCCCTGAACCTTGGGCTAAGTTGGAGGCGCAGCTTCAGGATATCATCCGTCTTCGAGGGGCGCCCGCATGGGATGATCGCGATGCGACTAAGACACGGCTTATTGATCGGGGGGGCCGTTGGGCCGCATCTACTTCAAAAGATGATGCCCGGTGCGACGTTGCGGCGGTATCACCCTGACCTTCGTCCACGTGGCGTTCTTGCCTGGTACGATGTTCGTGGTCGCGTCGGCCTTCCAGAGTTTCTGACGCATCGGCGAGGATTTCTGGGTCAAGTCCCATCTCCTCCTACTCTCTTCCCGTTCGTGAAGTCGAAGTGCTTTTCAGATGATGGCGGGCGGAAATGTGGTCGCCCAACCCATTCGCGCATGCGCAGGGTTAATGACATGGCCACGATCCCGTTCGCAAGGTCCTGGAAAGTTATTGGTCGTGCGATTCGTGCTGTTCTGGAAATTTCTGGAGCAGGTCGGGAGATCCTGAATATCAGTGATGTTGGAAAGGTTCTGCGAGCAGACTTGCAGGCTTTGGCAGCGCCTGCACCTGGCGGGTGCTGCCTGTGACGCGGCTGTCAGATGCACGGTCGATTGCAAGTCTCGACGTTCGACGTTGATCAAACGTTCGAGAGTTGCCGCAGTGAAAATGTTTTGCCTGCGTGGTTATGGTGGTAATCTCGTTTTCGTGCCGTCACAGGTGTTAACACGATTCCCATTGCGAAAGGGCGGCAGTGCAAAGCAATGGCTGCCGCGCGGTCATGGAGTAGAGCCTGGCGGGCCTTGTCTCTGGGGGCTTTACGGAGGGCCCTTCTAGCAGGCCTTACTTGCAGTTTCGCTACCGTCGGGAACCTTGTCTTTGAGCTTCTGGGATTGTGTGTTGGGGGCTCTATTAGTAGTGCTGCCGTGTCTGTTCGTTTTGCACATGAGGAGTATCTGATGATGGAGAATGGTGTGAAGTTGGCAAGTCTTGGGTGTCGATCGGGTCCTCCTCTCGAGGCCGCTCTGACATGGCGTAGGTATGTTGACGACGTGATGTCCTTTATTTATAGTCTCTGCTATTGCCCAGGTTGCAGGAAAGTATGTGTGGAAAACCTGTTTTTTTCGGAGCCTGTATCTGTCGTCTTTCACTTGTCAGGGAGTCCGACTCGGTATTCATCAGGATCCTCTTTCCCCAGATGGTGAGGTATTTGAATGGGTGAATTTAGAAATGCATGTGCATGCGAGGTCACTAGGCTGGACCCTTAAGAACCAACAAAGGCTGTGGATTCTGGGGGCGTCTTTCGATCAGCATAGTGTTCTTATTCCTTGGCTGGGCCGTCTACAATATTCGTTCGCGCGTGTTCGGGCACCGCTTCTTAGCAAACTGGCCTCCGCTCGGTCGGCAGGCTTGTCTCGGGCTCTCATGGCTATCGTCATCATTGAGTATGCCCTGGAAATGCTGAAGCTTGGGTATCCTTTGCCGTTTATTATCAAGTTCGTGCTGTCCTTGCCTCCGTCGCCGTCTGTGCTCAGTGCTCGGCGGTTGTGGTTATCCCAAGTTCGGTTCACCCATCGCGCGCGCAGTGGGCACCGAGTGATGGGCAACGGCAGCAAAGGCGACGGTGGCAAGGGCAAAGGCTCTAGCTATGGCAAGGGCTACGGCTAAGGTCACCCCCGCCAAGCGCAGCCAGACCCTCGACGGCGTCCTCTCGGAATCGCAGAAGTGCATCATCAAAGCGTTGTTCGGTGGGAAGTGCAAGCTCCCCGAGGGCAGCTACAAGGAGGTGAGTGACTCCATCGCCCAGTCGTGGTCGTCGAACCCCACGGTCGTCAAGACCCCCAACAGCTTCCTCAAGGACAACTTTGACGGCGATCCGCCCCGTGCCAAGAAAGAGCGCATTCAGTGTTTCTGGGATGTACTCCAACAGTTGTACAGAGTCGATGATGTGATCTTTCCAGAGGACTCAGATTATGAGGATTATTTTGCCCAGCTAGGTGCTGGGGCCAAACGTCGTCGCAAGTCAGGTTCCTTCCAGATATCTCCACAGTTTGCGTTTATCGTTGTGTGCGTCATGTTCGTGATAGGCATTACGTATGGCTATATCCTCAAGTCATTCGTTCTCGGTGCTGAATGGCATTGGTGGCAGCACTTTCGTCAGGCATGCGCTTTTGGCTTGGGATACCTGTCAGGCGACCGTGAGCACGTAGCGCAGCACGCTGAGATGATACCGCAGCCGATGCCGAGTGGGTTGCAGTGGCTAACTCTCCTTCCTCTAGTGCTGCCAGCAGCCCGCGGGGGTCTCCGTGCGATTCGTGGGTGAGTTCATCCGCCGAGAGAGGGCCAGATGTCGTGACGGCAGGCGTGCGTGCTGTTCCTGCCTGACCCCCCTGAGGTCAGCTCCCGTTCGTCATTATTGTTGGTCTGTTCCGCAGGCGATTGGGCTCTGGACTTCTAGCTGGGCACTGGCGCTCAACCGTCTGAGAAGTGGCCCCGCAGCAGAGCCGCCTTGGTGCAGGCAGAAATATCGATTTGGCTGAGTTCGGCCACATATTGGTTTTGTCGCAGAAAGATAATCGGCATCATCATCAGCATCGTCGTCATCGTCATCATCATCATCAACATCATCAGCAGCAGCATCCTCATCATCACCCCTCTTCGTTTCGTAAACACACACACGCCTTTCACACTCATTCTCAGCATCAACATTTTCATTATCATTCCGTCCGTCACCCACTCTCACCCACTCATCATCATCATCATCATCATCATCATCATCATCATCACCGTCATCACCGTTATCGTCGACGTCACTGGCACACTCGTTCACACACACACAGAAACACGCACACTTACACAGTCACACACTCATGCATTCAATTTGAGGAAGTCTACGGCTGGAGCTTCGTTTGTGAGTCGATTGTGAGGAAGTCTCAGGCGAGGGCCCCCTCCCTACGCGGCCCGCGCTTTATGTTCGCAATCGGAGCGGGTCATCTAAACCTTGTAACTGTCGTCACATGTGGGCCCCTGCCTGAATTTTGAAAAGCCTCAGGCGGGAGCTTCGTTTGTGAGTGACTTGCGAGGAAGTCGCAGGCGGGAGCCCTCTTCCTATCGGTCATCCAGACATTGCCACCGTCGTCATTTTTGTTCGAGGGGGCTCACGCCTGAATTGTGAAGAAGCCTCAGGCGGGAGCTTCATGTGTGAGCGACTTGCGAGGAAGTCTCAGGCGGGAGTTCCCTCCCTATGGGGCCCGCATTTCATGTTGGTGACTGGAGCGGGTCATCCAAATCCTGTCACCGTCGTTACTGTTTGGCTCCTCACGCTTGAATTTTGACGAAGCCTCAGGCGGGAGCCTCGCTTGTGAGTGAATTGCGAGGTAGTCTCAGGCTGAAGTCCCTTCCTTATGGAGTCCTCATTTCGCGTCGGTAACCCGAGTGGTTCATCAAAATCTTGTAATTGTCGTCCCTTTTGGGCTCCGCACGCCTGGGTGTTGAAGATGACTCAGGGGGGGGCCTCATTTGTGAGCGGACGCAGGGAAGTCTCAGGCGGGAGCCACCTCCCTATGGAGCCCGCTCTTCATGTTGGCAATCGGAACGGGTCGTCGAAATCCTGTAGCTGTTGTGATTTGTGGGCCCCTCACGCTTGAACCTTGAAGGAACCTCAGCCGGGAGACTCATATGTGAGTGACTTGCGAGGAAGTCTCAGGGTGAAGCCCGCTCCCTATAGGGCTCGCGCTGCACATTGGTAATCTGAGCGGGCCATGCGAGAGCTAGACGTATCGTCAGTTTTGGGTTCCCCAGCTGGGCTTGAATCTTGAGGAAGTCTCGGGCGGGAGCCTCGTCTGCGAGAAGGTCGCGAGGAAGTCTCGAGCAGGGGCCCCCTCGCTATGGGGCCCGCAGCTCTATGTTAGAATCCGAGCGAGTCCTCGGGATCTCGTAGCTTTCGCCATTGCTGGGCTCCTCAGATCCACGATAGAGGCCCTCGCGCGGCTCATCAACTACGAGGCGACCGAGTTGTTCCTGAGGGGGGCGCGCGGGGTCGAGCGGGCTTCCGAGAACGCGGAGCAGCGCAGCGATTGGAAGCCTCCGAACGGTGCCAAGCAGGGTTGGAAGTCAAGAGTCAACTTCACGGTTCTGGAGGAGCTCGACTCGTCCGAGAGCGACCAAGAGGGCGCGTTTATCGATGGCGTGAAAAATGAGTTGCGGGAGCGGCTGGCGCATCGCGCATTGCTGGCCAAGTCTCTTTACAAGCCGAACGACCACAAGAACTCCGCGACGAAGATGGACGAGTAGCGAGTACGAGGAGGATCCAGTTCAGGCGCCGGGCCCAGGCGGGGCGCGTCGCCCCGGCAGCAGTCACCTTGGCCGCTGCCCACCTCACCTGCGCATGCAACAGCGTTACCTGTCCAAATTCTCATGGCGATGACAGTGGAGTGCGCGCCCCCGTCAGATGGTCGGTCGAGTGCGAGGTTCTCTGGGGGCGCTTCCGCTCCTGTGCTCGCCCGAGCCGACGGCGTCAACCTCGGGGCGATTCAGATCACGGGCGGTTCAGCAAAAGGCGGTGCGAGGGAGGGCGAGCGCGGCTCTGCGGTCTCTGAGGGCGTTGGCGACTGGCCAGCACGATCAATTCCGAGACATTGCATGGGGCGGCGCAAAGGAGCGGGCAACTTGCCGCGAGCTGCCTGGGGGGATCGCCGAGCGAGTGCTGGAGTGCCACCGCGAGGCTCACGACCTGAAGATGCAAGCCTCCGACGCCGAGTCTGCTTTCGAGCGGCTGGCCTTGCGCGCCAAAGCTGGGGCCCGCGAGGCCACGGCTGCGTCCGACGACGACGAGTTAACGCCGCCTCGAGGGAAAGTCATGCCTTTCGTGGGCGGCGAAGCGTCTCTGCCACCGGCAGGGGCCGAGCCATGCGACATCATGCTGGTCTCTCCGAAGGCCAGGTATGATTTCGACAGGTTCTACAAGAAGATGGCCCTCCCCCGAGCCAGGTGGGCGACGCGGACATCGAGAGCGCGCGCGCCCACGCGGATCCGAGCCTCCGCCGCCGAGCTGCTCGTCTGGATGTCGCGGCGCGGCTATGGGCGTCTGGGGCGCTGGGCATCGCCTGCTCGTGCCAGGTGGAGGTGGCTGTATTCTTCGTGATGGAGAAGGCGCGAGAGGACGGGGACCTGGCCCGCGTGGGACGCGAGGCGCGTCAGCAAGCGCTTCAGGCCCCCGCCGCGCCTCAACCTGGGACCCCCGATGGCGATGTCGGAGTTCGACCTGTCCGACGAGGTGACCCAAGGCAGAGCGTTGAAGTCTACCTGGGGGGATGTGCCAGACTTCTTCCACAGGTGCCGGAGCTGCTCGGAGATCTGGCCACACGTGGTATATGCATCTCGGTCGACGAATTGATTAAGGAACTGAGGAGGAGAAACATGGACGTTCCGAATGCGCCGAGAAGAAGCAAACACCTCTGCCAGGTCGCGATGCTGATGAGGCCCCGTTGGGCCCCAGCTATCTGCCACGGAGCGCTGGATGACATAATCTGCGACCCTCCCATTTTTCCACGCCCTGGTCAGTTAGGGCATGGCCTGGCGCCGCCCAGCTTCGCCCAGGTTGCCTTCGTCCACTTGGTCTTTATGGGTGACTTTGCGTCGCTAACTCCGGTGGGCAAGGGCGCTATCGCGATGGTGGAGACGGTGCAAGAGTCGTCGCGTACAAAGCTGAAGGATGTGGGTCTGGACATGCACAAGGGCGGCGCGGGGGGCGCGATGCACCTCTCTTTGGGCGCGACGATCGCCGAGCGGTCTAACGACCTGACGGCCTCCAGGGAGAAGATCCAGAACGTGATCGGTGCCACGGGGGCCTTGTTGGCTCGGCGTCGCGCGACCTCGAACGAGTTGTCGCGAGTTGTGGGGTCCTGGGCGTGGCTGGCTATGTGCTGTCGCTCTGGTTTCTGCGTGCTCGACGCCCGTTGCAAGCTCGTGACGGAGCGCAGCGACGACGACGCCAAGTACGAGTCGTGGGGGAGCGTGCTGAACGAACTTCACATGCTGCACCACCGGGCGCCCTTGATGCACGCCCATCGGGAAGCCCGATGGGGGGCGATCGCGCTCGCGACGGACGCGAGCGAGCAAGGCTTGGGAGTCGTGGAGACCAACGCTTCTCGGAACGAGGTCAAGGAGGAGGTAGACAGGCAGTGGAAGGATCCAGCAGTTTCGCGACCTGGCGAGGGACGAGGAGGAGGAGCCACCGCTGAGCGGCGACGCGCTGGAGCACGCGAAGCGAGGCATCCCTCGGGCGACCGACGAGAGCGACGTGCCGCCCCTGCGCTGGATGGCCGACGCTTTCCCGGGCTACGGTGGTTTTCTGGAGTCTAGATCTACGAGGCATAGACGCGAGCGAAAAAATTGCGAGGTATTCTTGCAGCCTGAGTTCGTTTACTCTTTGTAGCCAATGCATCGTGCAACGCGTTGCTGGCGCGTTCTGCCCCGTTCCCCCGTGCGCGGTCGAAGTCCCAAGACATGCGTTGCGTTCGTCAGTGCGCGCGCATTTCATGCGAGGGTCGGCTCTCGTGCTTCGTTTGCCGCGCAGGGCTTGCTGGAAGTTGTTCGACTCGCTTTGCGGTCGTTGCGCGTTGTGCAGGTATTGCGGGGAAGCGCCCATCGATCTTGCACGCGCGTCTAGGGGCGGCCGCGCTTGGCTGTTTCTGCGCGCGTCGATTGTCGTCTGAGCGGAATCCGCGTCAACGGTAAATTCCCTTTTGCCTCCTTCCTCCTCGGCCGCCGCTGCCTTCCCATCTGCGTCTTCTCTCCCCGGCCCCGTTGCCGCCCGACTGGTTCAAGTTCGAGCCTCGACGGTCGATGTTCGCAGCTTTTCGGCATTCGAAGCTCCGCCTCGTCGCCGCGGCGGCGCGCAGCTCGAAGAACTGGCGCGTTTGGGCCCTGGGGGGGGCCCGGGGACCTTTAACCGGGAGGAAAAGCATTCTTCCGGCGTGCAATTTTGGCTTCGGCAGCAAGATTCATGCGTGACATCTCGCAGGAAAGCATATGCCGATATGCAACGACATGCGATTTTCATTGCTTCGGGCGCGGGCGGGCTTGGAGTCGCGGGCGAGGAGGCTTCGGGTCGCCGGGAGATTGGGGGGGGGTCCGAGGCGCCCAGGGGCCTCGCGGGCCCCGCGGGAGCTTTCCTGGAACGTTTGGAGGGCTTCGCGGTCCGCCCAGGGGCCGCGCTGGACCGACCTCAGGGCCGCCCAGGGCCGTCATTGAGGCATCTTGGGCCCTCTTGCTCTCGACAGTGCGGGCCCATGGCAGTTTGCGAGTGGTCGCGGTCGCTGTGGCGCGGCTCCGTTGCTTCCTGACAAGAAGAGGTCCGTCGGGGGGGGGGGCGCGCGCGGCGGCGCGTTGTTCGGGGGGGTGGGGCCGTCAGAATGGCGCAGGGGCTTCATCAAACAGTTGATTCGCATTCTATTGCGCTGGCGCGGCCGCGGATGCGACGTGGGCCCCGCGCGTCGCTCGCGCGGGCGTGGCTCTGGAGATCGCAGGCGCGTTGCTGGAGAGCGGTCGAAACGCTTTGAGAGTTTGGGCGAACGTCTTTTCCATAATTTTTCGATTTGCATGCGTGCAGTAATTTTTATTTGACATCAGATCCGCTACAGGCGCGCGCCGGAGATTCGCTGCCCTTTCGGCGAGGAAGTGCGGAGCGCGTGTCAGCGCGAGCTCCTCTTCGCGGACAACGCTCGGAACCCCCGTCGCGACCTGATGGGCCCGTCCTTCGTGGAGCTGGTGTCCGAGGCTATCCGGTTCGGGCTGCCCTTTTTTGGCACGTGGCACCCCCGTGCTCGTCTTTCTCGCGGGCTCGGAGGCCAGCGATTCGAGCTCCGGGGCGTTGGATCAGAGGACCCCCCGGGCTTTCGCCTCCGCGGGTTCGACGGGTGCGAGAGGGCAGCGCTCTAGCCTAGGCGCTGATATCTATGTTCTGCTCGCCTCGTCTAGCGAGTGGCGCGGGGCTTTCGCTCGAGAGCCCCGGGGCCTCGATGATCTGGGAGCTCCCCGAGGTGATGAGTTTAATCGGGCAGTCTGGCGCCTTCGCTCGCGCGCTGCTCCTCCGGGGCAAAGAGGATGCAGCCCGCCCGTTTGCCGACGAACGTGCGCCCGTTAAAAGAGCCGCCATGCCGATGCACAAGGGAGCATCAACACCGAGAGCTCCGAGGACGCAATCACAAAGGTCAGCAATGGACTCGGCTGGCCGCGGCACACCCGCCGCAGCTGCACAGCGCCTGCGCGAGGCTCATTCGGAAGGCGGTATACGCCAAGGGTTTTTTTTTTCCGATTGGTGAGTTCGCGAGGTTTGAAGCCCCACAGGAAGGCCCATAGCGGTGCTGGAGCATTGGGGAGAGGTAACGACATGGCATTCATCATGGGAAGGAGAGTGGGCCTACGAGGACCATCTACGTGCTGGAGATGAGGGCCGCGGCATATGTGGCTCGGCATCTGTGCAGGTCGTCGCTCTGCTGGTTCAGCCGCTTCTTGGTGCTGTGCGACTCCATGGTGACAGTTGGAGCCGTCAGAAGGATGGGGAGTTCGTCGCGGCCCCCACGGACGTGAATCCAGCAGACGGCCCATCGCGAGGCGAAAGCGTTGGCAGCGTGGAGATCCAAGACGAAGGCCGAGCAGAAGAAGGTGGTCCTGGACGACGAGCACCCGTTCGAGAGGCTGTTGGGCGACCAGATGGAGATCATGGGCATGCGCGACGACTGCGCCCGGGACTGGCATCTCCTAGGCGTGCTGCTGGTCTCGACGATCTGGTGCGACGGCTCCCCGATCGGCTCGGCGAGCCAAGGCGCGCTGGTGGGTGACGTCGACGAGTGGCGCGACGGGGCGGCCGACGGCGGCGACGAGGGCGCGGGTTGTTCCGATGGAGCAAGCTTGATGATGGGAGATGTGGAAGCGCTGAAGTCAAGCAAGAAGGGTGCTGCCAAGGAGAGGGCCCCGAAAAACCAACGAGCTGGACGACGGCGACCTTTTCGCGCCCATGAAGAAGGGCCCGACGGCGTTCGAGACCGCCGCCGCCGAGAAGCCGATCAACAGGAGCTCTTTTGGCACCGACAAGCTGGAGCGGCCCCTCAGGCTGCTAATCCGCGCGGTCCAGGGCGAAGCGAACCAGGGGTGCATCAAAGAGGTGGGGCCCTTCCTGCATGACGTGCCAGAGGCGCCCCCCCTTCGCCGCTCTAGGCGGGCGAGATATCACGGTGGCGGCGGAGTTGGACAACAGGTTCTTTGCGGGGCGAGCCCCTCTCAGTCGCGGTATCCAGGTCTTCCGCGGCTTGATGCGCATTTCTCTGAATGGGGATCGGACGTGCCCATCGCGTCAAGAGCCTCGCAGAATTGGGACAAGTACCGGCAGACATGGGAAGCGCGCCCGGCTTCCATCGAGGCCATCTTTGTCATCGCCCGCGAAGCTGTTCGGCGAATCCACGCGGGCGAGGCCGCGGCCTGCCCGCTTGCTTGCGACTGCCGCCTTCCAGGGCAAGATTGGTTGCGGCTGAGGGCCGAGGGCGTTCGCGCGAGCTGCCGAGATCCACGCGGCCCCTGGTCGATCACGGTCGCGATCTTGCTGGGGCGACGGCGTAGAGGAGAGAGCGTGAAGACTAGTCTGGGGCAGGGCGTCGCCGTCGACAACCTGGGGATCGCCGCAATGTCGGCGAAGCTTGTGGAAGCCCCGAGCGGGCGCTCGCGTTCGATGCCACCGCCGCCAAGGCCGGTGCAGTTTGGCGGCGGATCCTAGCAGATAGCGACTTGTGCTGGGTCGTCGGCTTTGCGCGCACTTTGAGGCGCGGCGGCCCGAGTCGCGATGTGATGCGCAGGAGGCGTTCCATCGGAGATATCCACCGGCGAGGGCGATGCGCGCAGAGTAAGAGCATGGCCAGATACAGTAAGCCCCGCTCTTCGATCGTTCACAATGCCCGACTGCCGCCAAAAGTAAGGCGAGAAGGGCGAGAAGCCAAGCGCGATCTAAGGGCTATCATCCAGAGCGTTCCCCTGGCCGGCGCGCGGAGCTTAGCCAGCTCGGCCGCCGCGATGGCCCTCGGCCCCCGCGGCCCGCTGGCCGCGTCGCCCATGGGCGAGTCGGATATAGACGCGACGGCTTCGCCGATGCACTCCCAGCCTGCCCGCCGCCCATCGGCCTCCTCTCTTCTTCCCCCGCTTCCCGTGGCCTCTGTCCAAATGTGCTTTTGTGCAGAAAGAGCTGTAAGTCGGGGGCGGGGGCGCCCTTATCTCGGTCTTGCTAGAGCGCCCACCCTCCCAGTCCCAATCTTTAAGTGTGAACCGAGGTCACGGGGCAGGGGGCGTTTTTCCTGGCGCTGGCCCTCGCCCGTCTTGAGTTTCGATGATCTCGGCGACCCATGGCCCTCGCGCCAGGCCTAGCTGCCGCCGTCGGCTGCGTTGAACCCCGCGCGCGCCGCGGTTGGGTGAAATCATCATCTCTGGCCCTCGCCGCCCCATCTTAGAATGCACGTTTGTTAACGGGCTTTCGTAGAGCGCGCGTAGATAGGGCCGCGAACATAGCCCCCCCTTGGGCTTCGGTCGGACAGAGGGGGGCGGGGCAGCGAAGAGCGTGCTCAGAGAAGCGATAGACTGTCCATTCGATATGGGCTCAAGCATTCCAACCCACCCTCCAGGGGGGGGTGTGTTTGGTGCTGGCCCCCGCCCACTTCTGGCCTTCTCATCGCTCCATCTTAGAATTGAGAGTTCGTAGAGCGCGGGCCGCAGGCGCCCTTGCAGAAGGCGCTCCGGAAGTTCGACGAGATATCGGAGAGCCCCAGAACCGAGGCGGAGCCGCTCGCAGCGCGGCTGGGTTTCGCGCTGCCCCCCGCCCGGGCGCGGCCGCGCCCGCTTCGAGGCCCGCGGGCTTGCCCCAACGGCCTGGCCTGGAGCTGTTCCGACGGCCCGCCCCCGCGCCCCAGCGGCCTGCGGGGTTGCCCCAAAGGCGCGGCCCGCGGGATTGCCCCAAAGGCTTCGCGATCTCGGCAAACGCGCGCGCGCTGGCCGAGGCGGCGACGGCGCCGAGGAACATCGACTTGCTTGCCCCGATCAGGGGGAAGGGGAGGTGCACGTGGAGAAGAGGCAGGAGGAGGATGACGAGGGGGGAACGGGTCGGGGGAAGGTGACGACGAGGAGGGGGTTTGAGAAGGAGGAGGAGGAGGAAAAGGAGGAGGAGGAACAGGAGGATAAGGAAGAGGATACATAATAATTGAAGGAGGAAGGGGAGGAAAGGGCAGAGCAAAGCCAAGGGGAGGGTGTCCGCCAGGGCAGGGAGGAAAGGGCTAAGGGCAAGTTGAACAGATTTTCATTCGGGGTCCTACCGTCGGAAAAATTGAACCTCTTGGGGGCCTTTGGGGTGTTTTTTCTTGCCATTTTGGGGTTCCCTGGGGGCCTGTTGGGGCTTTTTGGGGGCAGCCCGGAGGCGTCTTGGGGTGGAAGGCTCGAAATGTCCGTTCGGGTTCCCCCTCTGCGCCCCCTATTGGGGCTGTCTTGAGGCCCTCGTGGGCTGTCTTGGGGGTTTTGGGGGCCGTCTCGGGGCCTTTCCAGGTCGTCTTGGAGCCCTCTCGGTGGCCTCCTGGCCGTCTTGGGGCGAGTTTGAAAGCCTCTTGGGCCGTCCGGGGCGTTGTGAACGGAGGCGAATGTGCTAAAAACGCATTCTTTCCAAGGGGAATGATACGTTTTTTTGTTTGGGGGGGCCCTCTTGGGGCGCCTCTTGGGCGCCTGTTGGGCCGCCTCTTGGGGCGCCTTGGGGGCCTATGAGGCCCGTCTGGCGGCCAGTGTGGGCGTTTCGGATCGATCTTTCAGCGACTCATGCCCATCGTGGACCGCCCCAAGGGCCTTTTGGGACCTTCTTGGCCTGTTTGGGGGCCCTTTGCCCCCCGAGTGCGTTCACCCGGATCCTGGGGGACCCCCCCCCTCCAAATCGACCGGACCAGGCTCCCGGGGGACGGGTTTGGGGAGGGGGAAACATTTCACACGCCGCTGAAACCCAACGGGTCGGTTGATCACTGTTGTCGGGCATTGACTGTTTCACCAGACTTTGATGTGTTCTCTGCGGTCCAGCGGAAGACAATTCTGGGTGCTCGGGCAGGAGCACGGATTCCAGCTGGCAGAACATGTGTTTGTTTTGTTTTTGCACTTCAAATTCAAGCCGCTATCCCAAACTGCCTTGTCATGCTTGTTATATCCGTAAATACATACCACGGTCGCTATATCAATTTCTGATTCTCGCGTATATGCACACGTACATAGGACCTCTCATATCGCACCTGTTACCTGTCACTCTCCCACTCTCCCTCCACACGCCTGGTCTTTACATGTTTATGCATTGCTATGTACCGTGAATGTTTTACGTATGTTTGCGAATCATGCCTATGTATAATTCTATGTATATATATACACACGTACATCGTTGTAGTTGATGTTATATCATTGTTACGGTGTTCGCGTGTGCCTCTGTCTCAATCTCCGTGCCTATTTCTGGTTCTGACTTTGCGTCGACATCTCTATTTCTTTGTGTTGTTTTATCACCCTCTCTCTCTCTCTCTTCCTCTCTCTCCGTCTCTCTCTCTCTCTATCCGTCGCTCTGTGTCTCTGTCTGAGTGAATGTATCCAGTGGTGTTGCAGTGCTTATGCCATCTGCGATTGGTGAAGCAGCGCAGCAATAGTGTAGCGCGGAGGCGCGGACGCGGAAGCATCGTTCTGAATTAAGTACGTGGGCGACATGTGAAGGAGGCATTCTCTTGATGCAGAATACGGCCAGCGCTAAGACAGGAGCCACATTTCCAGGTCGCGACGTCTCGAGCGGGAGCCGCAGGAACCGTCCACCAACCGCGCGCATTGTGTGGCTACCCTTGTGATCCCCTTGCACGCTTTCGTCCGCCTGGACGGATTCGATTGGGCCCAGCACTGCGCAAGAGCTCCTGCGTAATCGTACTCACTGTTCGGGTAATGTAACCTGGCTGCAGTGGCCGTCGCAAGCAGAGCGTGACGAGCAGCGTCCTCCTTGGCAGGCCTGGGCAGCTGTGGGCGCCTTGCTGGACAGATGGTCGGACAGCAACCCGGCCCGGCCTTCAAGGCAGGACTTGGACACGGCGTTGAATTCGCTCGACGTTGCGTGGGCGAAGTTCGAGGATCGACACCGGAAAGTTATTGGCGCCAGTTTCCCACCATGGCTCCACGTCGTCGGTGATCTGCCCATGGACGTCTGTCTGACACGGTTGATATTTGATGTTTCATTATTTTCCACTGACGCCGACAACCAGATACGCAACAGCATGAAAATATGTTTCCATGTGTCCGTTATTCTAGACGCGTCGTGTAATCTCACCAGCCCATCCAGAAACGATGCCAGGCGGGTTGCCCTGATCAGGGATGTGGAGGAGCATGCAGTGGAATAAAGTGCTAGGGAAGCCGTCGCAACCCAAGAGGGGACGGATGGAGAAGGAATCGGAGGGGGAGGGGGAGGAGGGAGGAGGGAAGAGGAGGGAGAAGAAAAGAGGGAGGAGGAGGAGGAGGAGGAGGAGGCGGAGGAGGAGGAGGAGGAGGACGAGGACGAGGAGGAGGTTGTTGGGAACGGGCCTAAAGCCTGGCAGGCAATGATTACTCGAGAAAAGGGCGCGTCGGGATCAGACTCCTCTCCGAGGAGAGCTCATCTGCCCCCACGAGACCGAACGAGTCCAAGACTTGCTCCCTCGAGGCGTAGCTTTGAGAAGCCAACTGTTCTGGGCCTGGGTCTGCAGCCTGGGCCCGCGATCCTGACTCAAGCGTTTCGGCCACCGTCCGCCGCTCGGCGAGATTCGGGCCCTCATGGGCCCTCGGCTGCAGATCCTTCAAAGCCTTCTTGTGTGACGGGAACTTGCTCAGCCGGATTCTCCTCAGTGGGTCCGAGATCCCGCCCGTGCCCGTCTCGGGCCGACACGGCCCCAGGGTCCCAGAGTTGGGGTTCCCTGAGAAGAAGACGCCGCACTTGCAACAGAAAGCGATCCGACTCCGAGGGTCGCCTCGATTCGTGAGAACTGGGGCGGCGAGGAGAGCGTGGCCATTGGCCCGAACAGCCAGGCCAGCGAAGAAATCCAATCCTCACCCAGGTCCTCCCCGCCAGCCCCCGTCCTCTGGTCGTCCGCCAGGGCCTGCCGACAGGACTTTTCCCCGTCGCAGTCCCTCAGCGCCGCTGCCAAGCTAGGACCTGGCTCAGGCTGGGCGCCCACGGGACACGCCCTTAGGCCGACCGTATCTCGATGCGTTGCTCCACTGATCGCCACCTCGAATGACCCCGCCCACTGCACGCCTCTTGAGCCAAGCTCTTGAGGCCTCGGACCGCCCCCGCGAGTCATGCGTGACCCGCCCCCCAGCCGGATTTGTTTTCTTTCCGCGGGAGGTCCATTTCCGCGGCGACCTGAGAATCCCTTGGGACCCCTGGCGGCGCATGGATTTTGTTCTTTCTTCCGCGGGCGTATTGCCACGGGAACCCCTGAACCCCTCTGGCCAGAGTACGCCTAGGACTTGAGTACAATTGGTACCACCATGTGCTAGCGCGCAGCTGCTCCTAGAGTGCACCAGGTCCTGCAGTACAACTAGTCTGATCGAATTGCGATTGTGGCAATCGAGGAAACAGTATAGACTCGTGACTTAGGAATAAGGAAGCACTATTGGATCGCGACTGGGGAGTACGGGAGCAGCGGCTAAGGAATAAGGAGACAGTATGTAATGCCGATTTCGGAAATAAAACACACAGTCGCGTGCATGTAATACTAGTACAGTTCCTTATTGCAACTACTAGTCGAATGATGCCGCATTACATTTAGAGTCTGGGCTCTCGCACTTTTCTTCATCTGGTTGCGCTGGGAGGGCGGGGCCCTGCGGGCCAGCACCCCCTGCGGCTGAGTAATTTTCCGGAATTCTAAGCAGGGGTAGCCCCCGTGCCCGAAACCCTCGCCAAGGATGTTTTCTTTTCTTCCGCGGAAGCTGGGCCCCCTGGGTTCCTTTGCGCGCCCTGGGAATGCTTTCCTTCCGTGTGGCCTCCCATGAGTTCCATGTTGGAGTCGCCCGCGTGATGGCCTCGATAGACATTCGCATCATCCTCAGTGATGCCGTGGGCGTCTGTTCCTCGCTTGGCGAACACATCAGCGGCCAAATTCGTTCGCTGTTCCCAGACCGTGCTCCTCCCCGCCTCGATGCCTGAAACGGTGGCATGGCCTAGGCTCTCGAAAGCCTGGAAATTTCCACAGGTAAACGAGCTCCAAAACGGGCCCCACAGGTGACCCCTAGGAGCCCCACAGTCCAGTGAGTACCCAGGCCCATTGACCTGCGAGTCCAAAGTGCTCTGGCAATCAATCTACCTCTGAAGCGGGGGAAGACCAAGCTGTGTTAGCACATATACAGCATAGTCTTCCCCATCTTTACAAGTCTGCTGCGGGGTTGCGCTCAGGGGAACCAGTTCATAAGCTGAAGAGATCTCGCTCCCAAACCTGTCGACCGACACGATGGCCCACCCCGCCCTCGCGAGCCCATCAAGGCCCATGAACGTAGCCGAGCCGTCCAGGAACAAGAGACCTGAGAGCACTCCATCGCCAGGTCGGTTCTCCCAGTAAACCCTCTGCTCGGGCTCGGGCCTAACGAACGAGCCCCGAGGATCAGGAAACACGCATCAAGCAAACCTCTGGCACATCACACTTTCCAGTTTGCTGTTAGAGAACTTCGACTGAACGTTTCTCGCACGCATGCACAGTTTTTCGCCCGCCTGGTCCTTCCGCTGCACGTCGCGGGCCGAGCACTCGCACTGGCGGTGCCAAGGAGTCCCGCGACCTCCTCGACATAGTTGGCAGCGCCCTTCAGCGTGAAGGCCGTGCGAAAAAAGGGCGAGCCTGAGGCCGGTGCACACTGCATGCCAGTCCTCGAAGGCAGCTCTGATGATGCTTGTCCCAGGTCGAGCTCCGAGCCTGCCCTGAAGATGAGGAGCGCAGGCGGCCCGTCTATGCCGTTCTGAAGATGCAGCGCCCGTCGATCGGACCCGCGGACCGCCCCTTTACGTGGGGCAGGAGGAGGAGACGAGGGTTTGTTTTCGGAGCCGGTTAAGGAAGAATTGAAAACCCATTTTAGGATATGGGGAAAAGGCGGCCTCCTCGCGCAAGAGCCAGGGCACGCGCGTCATTTGTCTATTCGCCACCACCGTCCTCACTGCTCGGTCTTCCCCGAGGATCTGGGGTGCCAGGAAAAAAGTTGCCAGGAGTGCGAGGGTGTCGTTGCTCGTCGGGGGCTGTGGTTCTGGTGGTGGCAGACCAGCAATTGGCCGCGCGGCAGCCAGCAAATGGCGGGAGACGACAGGGAGGAGTTCAAGGAGGAGGGGGGAGGAGGTTCGAGGGTCGAGGTTCGAGGAGGAGGTTCGAGGTGGTGGTTCTGGCGGGGGTGGCAGCTAGCAGATGGCCGTCGAAAGGAGCGATACGTCTCCGAGCTCATCGTCATCGAGACGCGCGCGCGGAGCGTGCTGCTGCAGGCCATCGAGCAGGAGTCGGCGCTGGGCCGCATCGGAATGCGGCGGTACTCGGCGGCGGAGTCCGAACACTACCGTTGCCGATCCACGGCTCAGGTAACTCAACGGGCGGCGGGGGTAGGGTTTGGAATTCGCCCCACACGTGGCGAAATCCGAACCCTACCCACGTTACGCATCGATCCAGGAGAATCGATGGTTGATGGGGGCAGGGTTCGGATGTCCGCTACCCAGGTACAGCCCAGACTTCCGCGAGGCCCAGCATCGCCTGGCAGGGAGCATCGCCCGCCTCAAGCCGAGGAAGGACACACGGCATAAGCAGAAAGATCGTCGACGCTCCGCGCGGATTTCTCGGATTGACGTTGCGGCCCCCTGGCGGCGCCTCTGGCGCCGCCCCTGGCGGGGGACCCAGTGCCGATCCAGGAAATCCGCGCGGAGGGTCAACAGTTTATGTTCATGCCGTTTTTCTTTCCTCCATCAATGCTGTCGCCAACTTTCGCCGCAAAGGCCAGGCCGCGCCAGGGAGGGGGCCCAGCGCCGATCCAAGAAATCCGCGCGGACCGTCGAAAGTTTATGATGATGCCGTTTTCCCTTCCTCCGGGACGGGAGAATATCCTGGTGCGCCGCTTCTCCTCCCGCTCTCTCCGTTCTCCGTCTTCGGAAGAGAGTCTCCAGGCGGAGATGCTCAGTATCGTTTAACCGATCCCTATCCCCATGCCCATCCCCATCTCGACCCCATCATCCCACCACCCCAGTTGGGGATATACCCTTCAAAACCCAAGGGGAATAGCCTGTATCCTCATCTAAGGGGGTCAATCGGCCAGTGGGCCCAGGCCACACCAGTGGGGATAGGGATCGGCTAAGCGATGCTCAGCGGGAGACGTGGTGTCATCCCCGCGTAATGCTGGACCAAGCTCACACTTTCATTCCTGCCATCAAGATTGTTGACATCGTTCGGGCGTTTTTATTTTCTTCGGCGAGGACCATCGGGAAGCATCCTGTGTCATCTTGGGGGGGAAACACGCGCACGAATCTGCAGAATGCAATGGAAATGGACGTCCGAGCGATGGCAAGGATTGGCCTTCGGCAGATGGCGAACACGGCTGCGCTTCCCTGAACTCCCCCCCCCTGCGCCCCCCCCGACTCCTTGGGGCTCGAGGCGCGCCGGGAAGCCTCGGGACCTTGTGCGAGAGCCCCGGGGAGTCACATCCGAGTCGATCGGGAGGCGAAGATTCCTCTCGCTTCGTAGGGTGCACGTCCAGGGCACGTTAAGACCGAGCGTTGGGTGGTTTGCCCTGCTCGCCTGCCGTGCTGTTCTGACGCGGCGTTCTGCTGGCCCTGAGGCGCTGCCAGCGCCGCGGGGGCGGGCGGATACGTCCCTCCCGTTTAAGCGCCGGGCCGAGCGTCCTGATGTCCACGAGGGCTGTACCATTCACCGCGTGTCAGCACAAGGCAACGCCAAGTTCCAGCTCCGATGCAATTCCGCAGGCCTCTTGGTGTTTTCTTGGGGCCGTTTGGGAACTTCGTGGGGGACATTTGAGGCTTCTTGGGGGCCTTTGGGAGGCTTCTGCGAGCACGGCTGCGCAGCCCCTCCAAAGGAAGCAAATTGGTTTGCGGGGGTTGATAGCAAGCGGGGCATCACCGCGAAGGGATTGGCCGATGCGGCAAAGCGGTTTGAGCGAGTTTTGATCTTCCCGCGGCAGGGCCACATGAGCAGCGCGCAGGAGACGGAACGCCTGACAAGGGGGGCGAACCTAGATCGCGCAAATTGCCAGGACTTCAGGCTGATGGCAACGCCCCCGCGACTCATGCCTGAACCCTCCGTCCGCCCCAGCCGGATTTCTTTTCTTCCTTCCGCGGAGGGCTTTTATTCGCGGCGATGCGTTAAGCCCAGGACCCTTGACGGCGCATGGACCTCCGCGGGCGTATTGCCACCAGAACCCCTGAACCCCTCTGGCTAGAGCGCACCTAGTACTTGAGTACAATCTGCACCATCATGTGCTAGCGCGCAGCTGATCGTAGAGAGCACCTCGTCCTGCAGTGCAGCCAGTCTTATAGAATTGTGATTGAGGCATTTGAGAAAACAGTATCGATTTGTGATTTAGAAACAAGGATACATTATATAATACCGATTGGACACACAGTAGCGGGCAAGTGTTTCTAGCACGAATCCTTACTACAGCTACTATTAGCGTGATGCTGCAGTGCATTTAGAATCTGGACTCTCGCACTTTTCCTCTGGTTGCGCTGGGGAGGGGTGACCCCAGTGCCCGAACCCGTCGCCAAGGATTTTTTCTATTTCTTCCGCAGAAATCTGACCCCCTGGGTTCCTCAGCGCGCCCTGGGAATGCTTTCTTCTCGGATGGGCCCCCATGGGTCCTATGTTGGAGTCGCCCGGGTGATTTCACGGCGCGCAGTTGGCAAGCGTACATTGGAGGGTGAAAGAGGGGGTCTGCAACAGGGGGTCTGCAATGGAGGCAGAATGGCCCATATATGCTCAATGTATCCCTCATGTATGTGATCGGGTACGATTGGCATCCAATGTTGGCGGTCATTGAGGGCCAGTCGTTCGTGCCCGCCCGTTGCCCGCGCGGGCACACGCGCCGTCCATCCATTATCGTTCATGCGTGCGGGCGTTCTTGCATATTGCATGTGGGGCGGCGAAGTGGAGTGCAAGTGTGTCTTGATTGTGCGATTGATGATCGCGTATGTTCCCAAACGATGACTTGTCGACCCCCAAGACAGGTTTGGAATGGGTCCCGCGTTTCTCCCAACATGTGAATTCACATGTTCCTTTTTCCCAAAATGTGAATTCACATTTTCCTTTTTCCAAACATCTGTATTCACATTCTGGCCCCTTTTCATACAGAATCCTACACAACATTCCAACATGTGAATTCACATTTCCTGTTTTCCAACATGTGCATTGACATTTTCCTTTTTCCCCAAATGTGAATTCACATCTTGCTTCCCCACAGTGTGAATTCACATTTTGCCCTGGCCTTCAAGATCCCCCACACTGAGGCGCAGTGTTCTGCGTGTCAGATGGGCGGGGCAGATTTCGCCACTCACCTGACCGTTTTCGTTTGTTCCAGCCTTCTCTTTTTGCGCCCTCAGCGCACCTTGCTTCCTTTCTCCTCAAGTCTCGCGCATGGGTGCAGGCAGGGGGCTTCAATTAGTTCCCCGCCGAACGCAGCAATCGAGGATGCATCGCCCACTCATGGCCCATAAAGAAATCATTGCCGGGACCTTGCGCCCGACCCCCAGCTTCACTCTTCAAGTACAGGCGCGCGGGCCCGAGCGGGGGGAGGTTCCCGAAGTCCGCGTTTGTCAGAGGGGCCAATTCCGCACGTTCCGCCAAAGATGGCGCCTTGAAGGGAAAGGCGTTCGGGTGACGCTCGCGCGGTATCACGCGGTGAATATGTGGAAGGCGCATTTGCTTATGCCGTCAAACGGGGCGAGGGTAGCGCTGAATGGGGTGTGGGGGGGGGTCGAAGACGAGGAAGTGAACACAGAGAAGGAGGAGGAGGAGGAGGAGCAGGAGGAAGAGGAGGAGGAGGCGGGGAGGACGAAGGGGAAGAGAAACAAAAACAAAGAGGCAGAAAGAGAAAAACGAGTTAAGAAAGGCACAGGGGCTCCCATGGGGAAGAGGGAGGTCGACGACAGAGGAAGCTCGGAAACATGACAGACAATTGAACAAACATGAACTTGGCTGCTTGCTGTCAAGGAGATGCGAGCCGCATGGGTCGCTCGTGCGCTGCCGTATGAGTAGTTCGAGCGCGGGTATGTACTTCTGTTGCGCCAGCATTACAGGGTCGCTGGCAGGGGCAAGGCAGGAGGGCGTCATCACACATTATCGATAAGCGTAGCCGAGACTCCAGAATGAGCCCCTGCTGAAAAGACTGAGCTGGACGTCGTTAGCGCCACGCGCAGGGCGCCACCAAATACGTGAATTTGTATGTGGAGTTCTTGGCCCAGGCAGAGCTTGCAGAGGGTGCTTTCTGGAGGAGGACGACCCAGAAAAGGTCGGTGGATAGGTTTCGTAGGAGGACATCTTGGGATGTTTGCCGGTGCCTTTGGATGCAATTTTGAAGTCTGTTGGGGCCTTTTGGGGGGTCTCTTCGGGACCTCATGAAGGCCTTTTGGGACAATTCTTGACGGTTCGCGTATCCCCACCAGCGTCTCCTGAGGTGCAGCGTAGCTCGCTCCTGTGTGTTTTTTTCGCTTCTTCTTGCCTCGCCTCGTGTTCCGCCTGCAGTCGTTCCCTCCCCGTGCCGCGGAATTTAGGCCGTTACTTGTTAGCCGCGTTTCTTGACGGCGCTTGGCACCCCTGCGCGCTCGCGAACAAAAAAGTACCCCCACCAACCCATCCAGTTGCGATGCCCATGAGAGTTGACGGGGGGAGAAAGGAAGAGGCACGCATAGTCAAACAGCGAGGGAGGCTTGGGAGGCTCCGTGGCCATCTCGAGCCGTCTTGGAGCGGTCTTGGGGCCGCTTGGAGCATCTTGGGAGCCATCGTGAGCCAGCTCGGGCTATCTGAACCATCTTGGAGGTTATCTTGGGCTCTCTCGCTCGGGGGCCTATTGGGGGCCTTTTTCGGGTGCCTCTTGGAGGCCTGTTGGGGCTTCTTGGGGTTCTTTGAGGGTGGATCGTTCAAGCGAAAAGACGCTCGTTCGAGCGAAAGGGTAATCCGTTCATGCGAAAACCAACCGAGCGAAAACCAATCCAGAGCAGCAGGGAGCAGCAGAGAGCAGCAGAGAGCAGCAGAGAGCAGCAGAGAGCAGCAGAGAGCAGCAGAGAACAGCAGAGAACAGCAGAGAGCAGCAGAGAGCAGCAGAGAACAGCAGAGAGCAGCAGAGAGCAGCAGAGAGCAGCAGAGAGCAGCAGAGAGCAGCAGAGAGCAGCAGAGAGCAGCAGAGAACAGCAGAGAACAGCAGAGAGCAACAGAGAACAGGAGAGAGCAGCAGAGAACAGCAGAGAACAGCAGAGAACCGCAGAGAACAGCAGAGAACAGCAGAAAACAGCAGAGAACAGCAGAGAACAGCAGAGAGCAGCAGAGAACAGCAGAGAACAGCAGAGAACAGCAGAAAACAGCAGAGAACAGCAGAGAACAGCAGAGAAGAGCAGATAACAGCAGAGAACAGCACAGAACAGCAGAGAACAGCAGAGAACAGCAGAGAACGGCAGAGAACTGCAGAGAGCAGCAGAGAACAGCAGAGAACAGTAGAGAACAGCAGAGAACAGCAGAGAGCAGCAGAGAACAGCAGAGAACAGCAGAGAACAGCAGAGAGCAG